AAACTCACAGTGGAAGAGCTTCTGAGATACAGCTTGGATGTCTCAGCTAAAAACTCTGTAGCTTTGGCAATTACAGCAATTTATTTTGCCACAGAACACATTTAGTCACAAATTAGAGTGTTGGAAGTAGATAACAGAGCCATAAGCTTCCAGTAAGAGTTTTAGAAAAAACCAGAATTTTCTCTCTGATGTGGGTCTCTCCTCTATCTGCAGTTTGTCTATCTTTCATTTCTTGAATACATGGTGAGCCATGCTACACTATAAGGAATAGCAAAGATCATATGTGTAGAAGCACACAGATGTCAAACTCTCTACAATGTAATCAAAAATTTATAGGCTAAATGCCGATAAAACCTTCCTGACACCAGAGGCTGATTATCTGTCTCATGTCAAATATGAAACTCAAGGTTCAGAAATACCAGCATTCTACAATATTTCTTAACATTTTGAGGTACATAAATTTTCTGGTTCCTGATATTTCCCCTGGAGACACAAGCAGAACAAGAGTAGCGCCAGCATGTTTCCCAAACTCATGTCACAAACTCTCACTTCTGCCTTCATGAGGCCTGGCCCAGCAGAGACAGAAGTGTGAGAGGGCTCTAACACAACAGAAACCAAGAGAAGCTGATATCTAATAGCACTGGGTTACACCACTCATGCTGGACATGTGAGACCCAGAGGTCCAATCTCTTCCAGCACAGACATGATAAAACTCTCTCATAATCACATCCTAAAACCAAAACTTTCAGATCTTTCTGGTGGGTCTGTCTGAATGGCTCCTGATGAAGACACTGCATGATTGTGAGACATCTGAATATTCATTAGAGAGGACCTCAGAGCACTCTCATCCCCTTCTTGCATCTGATCTAAGAGATGTTGTCATTCTTTTCTTTTCTTTCAGACAGATTGAATGGGTATTTAATGAGCCCATGCAAAGCTGAACAGCTTCAGTGGGACAGAGAAAGCAAGACTTGCTAAAAAAGAGCTTACAGTCTGGTGGCTTCCAGTACCCTCCCGGGAGATATCAGTTCAAATTCCTTCAGTGAGATAAGAGACTTCAGCCTTGGTCTTTCCTACCCCAAGGAAGCAATCTTAAATATTAATGCTTTTTATTAATTGACATGGCACCATTTCCTCTTGTATGTGAGAAAATCCAACCTCATTAAAGCACTTAACCTTGGGAGAGTATTAGGGTGACACAAGTGAAAGGAAGCACCATTCCAACTAACTCTCTGTCCCATTCCCTACCATCTAGTGCTGGCATGCCAGGTTGGATGAATCTCATTTTAGGTGGCATTCCTGGATTTACAGGACGTTGGTGCCTGACATGGGGATGCAGCTTCAACTGGAGGACAAAGAGGTCACAAAAGAAATGTCACTATTCTGAATCCAAATATCCTTGGAGGACTTAGCCATGGCTGTCATGGAAGGACACCATCCATCAAGTGACTCTCAGGTCATACACTTCCCTCAGTTAAGGACATAATTGATTTCTACAGAACTCCATGGGAGAACTTCCATGGACTGCACTAGGAAGTGGTCTATTTTTCCAGTGCCCCTAATTCCACCATGGTGTTTAGGCACTCTGGTTCACTAGATCTATGATGTAGAGTGCTTACATGCCAAATGGAGCATAGTTTATCTCAGTTATCATAAAACTCTACTGCAAAAAAGAAATGGAAGCTATTAAATAATTCAAGGGTGTCATAGCCATCAGCTGGCTGTATACCTGTGAAACAGAATGTGCTTACAGAATATGACACTAAACCTTGTCTTACTCAGAAACACTGCTAAGAAAAAAAAAACACATAGCAAGACTTCTTTTTCTCATCCTGGATATCTTTAAATAACAATAACAGTGTGACCACAGCATGTCATATCCAAGTAAGGATGAACTGTGATTTCAAATCAATATCACCTTTTCAATCTCTGGATGTAAAACGTGTAAGGTCACAGTTGGAGCAACAAAATAACTGTTGGGACAAAAAAATAACTGTTACATCTAATTCTCAAAATTAGCTTTAAGTTTAAGGCAGCCACAACTAGCACTACAAAGGCCCCTGGATGATAGCAGCTACATAGATGTCCCACAGTCTCCAAGCCAAGAGGTGCAGTCCCCTCTGTATTCATCAATGGACTATATGGCCAAGCAGCTTTGGCTTCCCACAGAGCCCTCCAGCATGGCAGGTATTTTTGCCTTAAAAGGGGCTATCAAAGTTTCAGGCATACCAAATACCATACAAGCCATATGAAGACCCACCAGAACAGTATTTTTATGTCAGGAACCTGTAGATGTGTTGCTGAATTCAACAATAGATTGAGAGCATATGGATGTGAAATTCAGCTGTGAAAATGTTGGAGGGTTCTTGTAGAGCTGAGACAGATCTCACACAGATTGAACCCTGCTTCCTTGCAGTCTTTGAAGGGACTCAGATAAGGGAGCTGCTGGAATGAGCCCACTCCAGAAGCAAAGCTGTGTTTTGTCTGGGGTGGAGCTTTCTCTCCAAAAGGGAATTTACAAAGAAGAAATACTTCTGCAATCTGAACAAGAAAACGACTGGAACCCGGGAGTGACCCCAGAGAGGAATCACACTCACAGTGTGGGCTTCCCCATTGACTTCAGTGTATGTGCACGCACAGGTGCTTTTAGGTTTAGAGATGAAGCATGAAGAAGTTTTAGCCACCATAATTTTAGGCACTAGTCAAAGTGATATATAGGCACTGTAGATTCTTTGTGGATTGCAGTAAGCTATTATGGATGTGGTTTACCATACAAAAATACTTACCAAAGGCTTCTTAGCCTGGAAAGCAGCAGATTGAACAGACAGTATGGATTCCATGGAGCAGTCATGGCAAGGAAGCTCAAAGAGATCAAAGAGATTAAAGCAGCAGACAAGGTGCAGAAAATTAAGCACTGAGATGAAATGAAGCAGACAAGAAAAAGAGAAAACATGATAGAGAGCTGCACATCTTTGTGGATGTGCATGAACACACAAGTGACTGCCTGGGCCATACTGAGTTTCCACTCATGCACAGACACATCTTTCCACACACTGCAGAAGATTCAGAAAGAAACTTGGCCCTGAACACAGGGCTGCCAAACATTTTAACGAAGTATAAGTGGTCCAGAGATAGGAAGAAGATACAGTGCTGAGATAAAGTTTCCAATGGAAATAGGAATCACTTCTATGTTCAGTTTAGCTCCTCGTTTTAGGATGCTCTCACACATGGCCATCTTTAATTAGCAAAGCAATTTCACAACGCCCTGACTATGAAGCAAGGCCCTCTTTTGTCCAACAGCAGCTATTGAAGAGAGAAACTGCAGGGACACGCAGTGCCTAGAAATCACATCTACATTCAATACGTTTTGGACATTTGCTCAACTAGCCTTGATCCAACCCTGCCACACAGGGTACATCTAGTTTGGTGGGATGTGAAAGAAACGTGCACAGTTTGAAAACACACTGGGATGCAAACCAAAGTGCATGTGTGTCAGGGCTGGGTGTTTGGGAGGTTCATTTCAAAAATGCTCCCATGGACATAGTCACCAGCTGAATCCAAAACATAAAGGTCCTGATCTGGCTGTCTGTCACTGCTGAAATTGCTTGTAATGCCTCACCATCCCAAGCAGTGCTCATCTCCCCAGTCCCAGATGGAGCAATTCTTCTCACCCCAAAGGGCAGGTCTGAAACCACAGAGATGTAGAAACTGATGGAAATCGTATCCTTTGAGCCTGTGGGCAGTGCCAAGGGCCCTGGTAACACAACAATTGTTCCTTCATTTGCCGCTATTTAGTGCATACTCAGAACAGCAGTTGCAGTTGGGCTTATAAATTACAAGACAACAGACAAAGGGAATAAATGAGACAAAATTAAAGACATTACTCCTACATCCCATAAATTATCTCTGTAGTCTGTTTTAACAGCGTGAATTTACCAGTGTCTGCTAAAACAGTATGAAAAATAAACCCACCTAGCACACTAACTAGGCATTAATGAAAAAGCAAAATATTGTTTTGTGTTCTCCAAAACACAGAAAGCAAAATATTCCCACCAGATCTCATAATGCCTTTCCAGGGGAGAAAGAATCATAATCTTCTATATTGAAAAAGAGACTGAGCTCTCGGAGTCGGAAAGAAAATAAATTAATAAACCTAATTACACACTCCGCGCATGGAGGAATCGAAGGCGTTAAGCCAGCCCAGGAGAACGGGGCGCTTTGATTGCGCTCACTTAACAACTTCCCCGTCACCGTGCGCGGCCCCAGGGCGGCCGCTCCTGGCGCTGCCCCCGGGGCAGCTCCGCGCCTCTGCGCGGGCACCGCGGCTCCGCTTCGCCTCTCGGCGCCGTCCCGGGCAAACTCCGGCTGCGGAGCCTCCCCCCGCGCACACCGGCGGGCTGGGCTGCCGTGGCACCGCTCCCTTAAAGGCGCCGCGCCCGGGCGAGTTGGGGCTGAGCGCGCTGCCCGCGCAGAGCTGCGCAGCGGCGGCGCCCACAGCCCGCGCCCGCCCGACCTCCGCCTGCCGCCAGCCCCGGCGGGGAGCAGAGCGCCTGGCATGTAGGAGCGGAGAGAGGGAAAAGGTGCGGAGCGGAGGGAGGTGAGGAGGGGGAAGCCGGGCGCGTGGGGGGGTGGGGTGGGAAGGAAGGAAGGAAAAAAAAAAAAAAAAAGAAAAGAAAAAAAAAAAGAGCTGCCTCTTTAAATGCTGAGGGCTGAGCGCTTGCCGGGGCGTCCGTGGCGGATCCAGCCTCCCTCCCTCCCCTCGGCCGTGCCTCTCCGGCGCTCATGCCCAGCCGCGGAGCCGGCGGCGCGGCGCTCGGGCGCTGCCGCTGCGCGGGGAGCAGCAGCCGCGCCGGGCCGGGGCCATGATCCGGGCGCGCCGCCGCCCCGCCGCCCGCTCGCCCTGAGCCGCTCCCGGCGCCACCGCCGGCCCCGCGGGGTAAGTTCGCGGCCGCCCGGTGCCGGGGGAGGGCGGGGAAGGCGCACCTGGCCGGCGGCCCGGCGCGGCTCACCTGGGTGGCGGGGGGGTGCGCTCTCTGCCGTGCCCAGCTCGGAGCTCCCCACCTCCCCAGGCGCTCGCAGCCCCTCTCTAACAGGTGGCTCGGTGCCTGCCCCGCTCCCCGGCGGCTCCTGCGCTTCTCTGCTTCTCCTCGCCGCCGCCTAACAGGTGGTGGTGCCGCCGCGCCTTCCTCCGTACAGGTAGGGAAGTCTCGGGTCCCCCTTCCCCCCGTCCCCGACGGGCTCCCGCAGCCCCGGTGCGCTGCTGGAGCCTGCGCTGGGCGGGGAGAGCCGGACGCCTGCGGAGGGGGAGCCGCGCTGTGCCCGCGCTGCTGCTCCGGGAGCCGCTCGCCCCTCATGGCCCCGCCGTGTGTCTGTCGTTGCAGCGGGCATGGGGAACCAGGTGGAGAAGCTGACCCATCTCAACTACAAGGAAGTTCCCACGGCCGACCCGACAGGTGTGGACAGAGATGAAGGGCCAAGGATCGGGGTCTCCTACATCTTTTCGAATGACGATGATGAGCTGGAGCAGCAGCAGGATTCGGTGCATGACCTGGGCGGTGAGAACCCTGCCCTGCAGCCCTACGATCCCCAGCTGCACGAGGTGGAGTGCTCAGTTTATTACCGGGATGAGTGTATTTACCAGAAGAGCTTTTCAGAGGAGGACACGCAGCTAGAGGAGGGTGATGAAGGAGGTGGGGGGCATCTGAGCACCTACACCCCGGAGAACCTGCTGAATAGGTGTAAGCCAGGTGACCTGGTGGAGTTTGTGTGCCAAGCCCAGTATCCGCACTGGGTGGTCTACGTGGGGGATTTTCAAGTCGTGCACCTCCATCGGCTGGAGGTGGTGAACAGCTTCCTCACCGACGCCAGCCAGGGCAGACGCGGCCGCATTGCCAACCAGCTGTACCGCTACAAACCCCTCAGCCCGGCCGTGGTGGTGCGCAATGCCCTGGAGCAGGTGGGCTGCAAGGATCGGGACTTGAGCTGGAGAAACTCGGAGTGTTTTGCTGCCTGGTGCCGATATGGCAAGCGAGAGTTTAAAATCGGCGGGGAGCTGCGCATAGGCAAGCAGCCCTACCGATTGCAGATCCGGCTGGGGGACAAGCGCAGCCACACGCTGGAGTTTCAGAGCCTGGAGGATCTGATCATGGAGAAGAGGAGAAATGACCAGATTGGTAGAGCTGCTGTGATCCAGGAGCTCTCCAGCCACCTGCAGGCTGCAGAGGAGGAGGAAGAGGAGGATGAAGTCCATCATCATCCAGGTGCTCAGACTGCTGTGGAATAGCAACCTCAGCACCACCATTCTGCTTAGCCTGGGTGATGGGGATTAAAACTGAAGGCTGCGAAATTGAGCTGTTATAAGCCCTTTGGGCTGCTTCGGTGCAGCTTCATTCCAATCACATGTGAAAGGAAGGGGGAAAGCTGCTTAAGTGTCTGTGCTTTAGTGCTTAACTCCTTCAGTGCTTGATGACAAAACCCCTGACTTAATATTTGTAGAGGATAAAACTCAGGGCAATTCTACCCCTCTCCTCTCTCTTTCCCTTCCTCTCTGCCATATTCGCCCATAGCCTTTTCCTCAACCATCTGCCAGTAGGCCTGACCCAACAAGATGCTAAATGCCTTTGACATCTACTTCTCAGCAGAAGTTAATAGTTTTTAATGCCATTAAGAAGTAGCCAACAACTTCCAGGACACGACCGTGTAGCTCTGAACATGAGGATATTGTTTTCCCTTCTCTGCTACTGTTTCTCTTCAGCTGTGGCTTCTGTTGGTATTGCAAGGAGCTGCTCCTCGCCTGGTTCAAGGCTTTGTGGGTTTGGGAACCAGTTCCCCAGAAGATCTAAGGCAGAAATCTCCACTGATTTTAATGAAATGGGTTTGATGTGCCTGGTGCCTTCTTAATTGATAGGAGGTTGCAGGCGGGCTGGGAGACCTTCTCCTTTACCATCAGCATGTGGCTTTGGGGACAGAAAATGAATTTGTTGCCAGCAGGTCCCAGGGAAGGAAGTTTGCCACCCCAGCTGTACTCTGCACACTGGTGTGTGTTGGGACTCCTACAGGCAGATGCTGAGCTGTGTCAGGGCTCATTGCAGGCTGCCTTGACCTCTCCTAAAGCAAGAGGCAGAGCTCCTGACCATGTCTGTAATACACACAGAGGCAGTAGAGGCAGGTTGCTTATGTGTAAGAGTATGTCTAGAGTAAGCTGTCCCTCAAGAGGTTGACCTCTTGGCTGGGTGTTTCTGGCTGTGAGGGTGCCACAGGTTCTGCACCACAGTGAACAAAGCTGTGATGGAAGGGAGCACAGGCTGGAAGACATTACAGGGCTTGGGTGTTCCAGAGCAGTTTCCTCTTCATTAGGGATTTTGTGTTTCTTTTTTTGCTAATTTCTATGGTATGCAGCTGAGCTATAGCATTAGAGGAGAGGACATGCCTCCAAAGTTGTGCAAGTCCCTCAGGAAGGGGGAGTGCAGTGCTGCCTGCCCTGAATAATCCCTGAACTTTTATTCAGCTGTTGAAAAGATCTCCCACACAGGCAGCACTGTCAGATCTTTGTCCTGGGATCTGGGGTGTATGAACAAGCACTGATTTGGAGGCAGTTTCTAATTCAAAATTCCTTCCCTTTAAAACCCAATATGATGATGTGAACTTGAAGATAAGCTTGAGTTCATTTAAGTAATGGAAACTAACAGTGTGATGTAAACTTGAAGCATAATTAATATGGTCTTCCCTGAAGCTGTTTACAGTTATACCACAAATAGCAAAGTACTCCATGTTCTTTCCACCTCTGTGACAGGAGCAGAGTTTGTTGTTCAAGAATAGGTAGATACAAGCTTTTGATTAGTTAAGACTAATCAAATTAGTTAAGACTGTATGAAGCAACTTTGCCAATTTGAGCCAAGTGGATTGTGGTCTCATGTTTTCTGCCTAAAATATAGATGCTAGGATTTGGCCTGTGAAACACAAATCCAGGGGAGAGTTTAATACCAAGCTCCCTTAGAATGCTATAGCTCAGGTGCCTACACAAAGTGTGGTTTTTCTCACCAATATGCAATTGAGTTATTCTCAGGTTACTGTGGTTGTCAAGCAGATGTCTAACCTTGTTTGAAAGCATATCTACCCATGTCTGATTGTGATAGGGTTAATATGTGGATGTCTGCACACAGGTTTTATACAACTACTAGTAACTACTGAAAGCTGAAATGATCACTGAGACAGTCTGAAAAAGAGTGAAGGAGAGTCTCTCTGTTGTACTGACTGATATGAGACAACAGATTATCTAGACCATGAACAAATGTCTAGCTGTGGTTTCTTTCATACTGAAACCTTGTACATAACAAAGTTTATTTCACTGTGTAATATAGCTGTGTAAAATAATATTTTCCTAGAGATATTTTTGGAAGTTTAAAAAAAACCCTTCATAACCTTGCATTTGAAAGTAAATTGTTATGCACGTTATTTTCCAGTTCTCTGAATGGGTTTATTTTTCATTCATGATCTAAAGTATATTCTAGGTCATAAAATATTGAAACTGCTATAAATGTCAAATATTATGTATCTACAGGATACTAAACAGTAAACTAGTTGTGAAAATATTTTTCCTTTGTGTCTGAAACATCAGAACTATGACACTTAGCCATTTCTCTCCTTCTGAGATATCCTGAATAGTCTGCCTTTGTTTTCTGTTCTTTTTTCCCCCACTTTTTTTCTTTTTTGTTTTGTTTTTTTGGGTGTTTTTCTTTTGTTTGTTTTATTTTAAAAAGGACCAAATCTGCTTGGGAATGGAGAGCAAAGCTTCTTTGACCAACTGAAATCTTATCTTGTGCTGGTCTTGGTGCTTCTCTGTACCGGTCATGCCTTTTGGGATAAATTCCCCCACAGGCACAAGGCCTTAGCAAAGAATTCCAGAGCTTGCAGTGCTTTGATAGGATAGAGAGTGAAGGAGGAGCTTGCTTCACAGCAGAGTTTGGCTGCATTCTGCTATGTTATAAAACCTCTGTGCTCCTCTGGCATACAGGTGTTTGATATTTGGAATCATAAAGTTTCCCTGCAAGCTATGTTTGGGAATTTATTGTCCCCTGACATTCCATTATGTGTAAAAAGTAAAAGAGGGTGGAAAGCTTGGCATTTTTTAAAATTTTGTCTGAAAGAGGGCTACCTCCATACAGGGATTTCTTATTCCAGCAGATAAAGATGCAGCTGTTGAATCTTTAACAGGCAGGTCCTTTTCCCCTACTTGTTGATTAGGCAGTGTTATTTAATAGGTGCTACTAAACACCACTGCACACATTTCTAAGCAGTCTGCTTTTAAAGCCATGGACCTGTAATGACCTGGATGTGAGAACAGAAATTGCTGTAGGAGCACATCTCAACTGCTTGGTTTCTTGTCTTTGCTGTTCTTTGCTCAGTTACTCTCTGCAGAGTAAGCTGGGATTTCTGGAGTTTGATTTAAAAAAAACAAAAGGTCTCCCAGGAAAACTGACTCTTTTGTGTATATGTCTACTTCAGGACTTTTACATGGATCACAAAAGAGAGGGGAAGGGAATAGATAAAGTGCTCTTCTCTGCATCTGCTTTAACATAGAGAAATGCAGGTGTGCTCCTTCTGCAGAGCTTGTGCTTCCTCACAGGTCTTAAGTCTAGATTGAGTTTAAAGTTTTGAGTAGACCTACCTACTTGAGGCCCCTTGAGAATCAGTAAGCCTATTCTTGTGCTTGAAATTAAGTGTATATTTACATTTCTTTATTAATGAGGGTCTGGAATTTCAATATGATGTCTCTGATGGGGGCGTGGAGCTTCTGAAGTTGCATAATCAACAGGGGAGAGTAAGTAGTGCAATGAAAGCTGTTTCTCAAAGGGCCTCTTGTCCAAACAGAGCTTGTGGAACCCAGCCCAAACTTTGGCCTCAGTTTCCCTCTGGAAATGCAGGAGCTGCACTGATTTGGTGAGAGGTGTGTTACACAGCAGCTGCAAGCTAAGCTGGTGATCTGCTGCAGATTCCTCCAGTATCTTTGTCTTGTCATGCTTAAGCTTTCCCTTGCATTTTAACATTTAAAGTTAATATAATTTGTTTTAAAAGCCCTTTGATGGTGCTAACATTAATCTATATGAATTTACTCATTTGGGCATCTCTACTCCTGTGAATATCAATGTGCACATGTGAAGGCTGGCAAGGCTGAGCCCCAGATGTGCACATGCAGCTCCAGCTAGGAAATGTAGATGAGCAGTCTTATTTCCCTGGAGTATTGGTGTGTTTGATGCAAATAATGCCTTGGAAAAGGCGTTGTAGTAAAACCTACAATTATCCGTTGATTGAGTAATTTTAAAAACACAATTTAGACATTCACCTTCCGTGGCAGTGAACAAAGACATAAACTGAAGACTATTTTGTTATCCCTGATTCTGTGTGAATGCAAGGTATTGATTACAGCAACTCTAGAACTCCTCTGGCCAATGTGGTAGGCAGTTGCCAAGCAGGCAGGGAAAATTCCCAAAAGCTGCTTCAAAATCTGTATTTTCTTACTTTGAAAAATACATTCTTCAGACTGAAGGACCCTAAACTATGGAAGTAAACTTTAAATTGTTTTGTATAAATGAAACCATAGGCAAACTCCTTTTGTTCATTTGATTTCACTATTCCACTCAGTACTATACTAGATGATATTGTGTGATTAATCTGTTTCAGATTTTGAATGTAATGGTGGTTTTCTATTTCTCTTTTCCTTTGGTTAAGTTTTACCAAAGGTCTGTCCTTGGGTATGTGAAGTGTGTTGTTGGGTGGTTTCCCACTTGTGCTTTTCTGACAATTAACAGCACCAACCATAAAGCTAACAGCCATGTAGGAACAAGTATTTTTGAAAGCAAAATTTTAATTTTGTATAAGAGATCAGAGACTAGTAACTAAGTAGAGGTAGGAAATATGATGTTTCCCACCACAGTTTCTATTTGTAAGAAATCTACAATTAATTGAGTATGCTTGACTGCTCTTAAAAATCAGTGTGCAGTGATAAGGCGAGGAGTATTATATCATGGGCTTAGACTTTCAGATTAGGCTTTTTCTTTGACTGTGAATAGGAAGAAATCAGGGTGATTTTGAACACCAGTGGTTTAGATGGTTTAAATTCCTTTGCATTAATACTGGATTAGAAGCTTTCTTTAAGTGCACACTTGAAATTCCTAACATTGTAACACTTCGTGAAATCATCCACAATAAGAAGTGTAATCACAAATATGATTTTTTTCCCACCATGAGCATTTTCTGTAAGCTGTCTTTTGTCAGTAAATGTTGAATTGTTAGTGCAAATATCTTCTTTTCCTGAGAAAGAAGTACACATCATTGATTGTACCATTTCCTTCAAAATGAAGGGCATTTCATAGTAACTCAAATAAAAGATTTATAGTGTCTTTTACAACCTTTCTTTCTTTTGTTTTTTTGAATAGCGTGTTTTTCTCCAGCTTTTGGAAAAAAGTTGTAATTTCCCATGATGGACGCATCAGACACAAAACAATATTTTCACTGCCTTCACACATCAGATCAAAATCTAACTCTTTGGTTGTATTCTTGCTTCAAAGAAAGAGTAAGAATAATCTCTATAAAAAGCCAGACCATCAGATGCCTAATAGGTGATAGCTGTATTAAATCCAATGAGGATCTGGCCCATAATTTAATTTTTAAGTGGAAAATTAATTCAGCAGCAGATCATATAGTATTAGCTGGCAGCAGGGCTTGTCTTTTCTGCCAGCAACTGCTAAAGGAACAGATGTAGTGTCTGCTAGAGGGAGAAACGAGAGAACAGAACTCACAGGGAGTTTTTGGGGAAATCTGTACAACTGTTCAGTTTGTGTGTTTGGTCTCATGGCAGATCCATGACTGGTGTGAGATCATCGTTCTACCCACACCAGCCTTAGGGACATTGCTTAATCAAGGTGACAAGGGCTGTGTGTTGTGGGAAATATTACACCCATGGGGAAACCATTCTTAATCAGTTAAATCCTTCTGCTGGCTGCATTCACAATGGCAAAACAGGGATACAACCAACAAGCTGTACTTGTCCACAAGGTCCTGACCACAAGGAGCTATTTGAGTCTCACACAAAAGGACTGAGTCAGCTCTGGCAAGGATTCTTTGAGTGAAACTATCCTGAGGAAATCTAGCTGTAACAAGATGAGACTTCTGCTGAAAGTATCAGTGGAGATTTAGCTCTTCTGTGGGTGCCAGCTGTCTGTGACAGCTGTCTTATAGGTGTGTGAAAGTGAGACAAATTTTTATATCAGACACAGCAGCTTTCAAGGCTCACGGCTGCAGGTGTGAATCTACCATAACATCGAATTTGTAGCTCTGGTATGGACTTAGGTGACTTTGAACAGGATCTATGAGGCACCCACTGTGCTCTGTGTTACTGCAAGAGTGCCTGAATTTTCAGGTGTCTGATACTTGATTTGAAAACATGAAGAATCAAAAATGTGATTTGGGTGCCTGGATCAATATGTGAAAATCCCTGCTCAGTTATCACTTAGCACTGGAGGCCGCTGAATTCTGAAGCTTCATAGTTTGACCTGGTTTTTGTGCATGTGTGTTTATTTAATCACCATAATGTTTTCTTGATGCTCTGGGCCTTTTTTTTTTTTTTTTTCTGAAGTTTCTCCAAGTACATAAAGCAGAGCAGTCCATGTATTCTCTCACAGCCTGTACCCATAGAGAGGGAGAATCTGCTGGCTGGACCTTCCTCCCAGTGGCTGCCTCCAGAATGTCTGTGACATCAGATACCAAAAAGAAGCATGTTGAAGAGGACATTTGCATTGCCAGAATGTCAGAATGTCTTTTATGTCAGAATGCACCTGAGCTAG